AATGGGTCCCACAACCTATTTTTCATGAGTAATCTCTCAAACTTAGGTTTCTAGGAAATGAACTAAATAGCCCCTTATACAAATCTGCCAAAAAATATCATATACTAGCTATAAAATATTAAAGGTAATTTTATGATACCTGAAAGTTAGTGGTAGCTATCGAACAATAACGTAAAGTTACACAACAATTTACTCACTTTATATGAAAATTCATGACAGCTTCCTAAAATCCATATATTAGTTGCTATGCAGGATTTTGGGAGTACAAATGATAATTTTCTTCTCAATGAGAGTGAGTAATAAATTTCAAGTTCAACATCATGTAAACCGGCTTTGTTGTGCTCTAATACCAATTGTTGTTGAAAACCGTGTCGAGGAACCAAACCAAACGCTGATCAAAGAGGGCCAAAACCAACCAAAATCAATGCACAACCAAAACATCAATTTTAACGTGGTTCGACAATTGCCTACGTCCACGGGGCAAGAAGGGGATAAAGTTTTTACTAATAGAGAAGAAGAGTACAACTTGAGATTACAAATCACTCGAAGGAACAAACTAATCTCACCAACAAAACTCTTAATCTCTCAAAATAAACCCTAATCAAATAGCTCAGAAAAATACATCTTTTCTGTGCTCCAAATATCCCAAACTCTAGCCTTAAGAAACCCTAGAACGTATATTGGTATTTATACAAACACCAAAACTAAATAAGAACAGGAAACCAAAACTGGGCTTTGACCCAATTGGCGGTCGACCGCCCAAAGCTCGTGGTCGACCGCGATCCAGCGACATAGACCAAAAAGTCCTACAAGGTCTCGCGGTCGACCGCACCAAGTCCAGTCTCATGCCTGAGCCTGTGCACGATCGCGGTCGACTGGCCTTGCGTCGCGGTCGACCGTGCAGCTCCAAAACAGTTCCCTGTGGTCTTCCAACACCTGTTCTTCACCAAACTTCTCGCAGTTTCTTCAATTCTCAACATCGACGAAGTTTCTACCAAAACTAAGCCGACACCAACCAAGCTAAATGCCTTACTTGCTGCTTCTCAATCCTCAACAAGTCGAGACTCAAACGGGAGTGTGAACACTCATCCAAACGTCGGTATCTACTCACCAAATCGGCTGCATCATAAAGACTGCCTATGTATCCTCTTGCCCAAGGCAAACGTCGGTATCTACTCACCAAATCGGCTGCATCATAAAGACTGCCTATGTATCCTCTTGCCCAAGGAATCAAGCATTCACGTAGTTCACCCAAACGGCCTCCAAAGGCCCTCAATCAAATAGAAAAGTCTACAACTCTTCCCCAATATCGCCAACGGATCTGTAACTGATAGCGGTTCCAAACTGATACAAATCAAACACCTCCATCAGAGGTGAACCAATTGCCGTATCCAAATCATGTCCACCAGCTGCAACCGAATCCAAAAGTAATCCATCGCCTGCATCCGAAATCAAATGATCCCCAACCTGTGCCACCTCAGCTGGAATCCCAAATGACGCAGTATGATCTGGAGTATGTAGAATAAGTTCCACCCAACGTGAAGTAGCATCACCATCCACCTGATACGATATCCAAATGACCTGATCAACACTCCCTGCTTAGAACAAAATCAGAAGCTCCCAACCAATAATCAAACGAGCCTTCAAATCCCAAATGCGCAATCGGATCAAATCTCACATCCTCGATGTGACCAAATATTGGGTAACCAAATATCCGACGCCAACCAAAATCTAAAACAGCTCCACTAGATCCAATAACTCCTAATGCAGTAGTTGGCGACCTATGACTAAGATGACCCAAATATGTCGAAACTCCAGAACCAGAACCAATGCTTGACAGCCAACACCGATCCTCCTCCAGAAAGGAACGACCCATCAAAACTATCATCCCATCTCGTCGCCCCAAAGTCTCCATATCAATGAAGTGTTTCAAGTTGCCATGAACTCGGCACAAACGTAAGAAAGGACCCCTACCAAAGCTAGAACAACGAGTTACCTTTCTGCCAATATACTTCTTCTAATTGTTGTTGACTTCTAGGACTTTACACCAATGGGAAATGGTCGCGACCCAATAATGCCTAGAACAATCACCAACTGTGGAAACTACAAAACGATTACCTCCCAATGATGCCTCCTTGGAAGGCCCCCAAATGCTTGACTGAACACCTCCTAAAAGATCCCTCCCTCGATGGATAGAAGTGCTAAACTCCACCACGGTCTTGCTCATCCCAATGTGCTTAAAGGACTTCCATCTGCAGGTCAAAGCACTCCTCAACAACCTATGCACGGTATCACCAATCATATATCCCAGCACCAAACAATGCCACAGTCTAGCCAAATCCAATGAGGTTGTCAAAGCTCTATCAATCACCGTGCTCCCAAGCAAATGGTATAAGTTACTCTTTCTGACGCCCTTCATCACAATCATGGACCCAAATGTAACCTTTAAACGTGCATCCGCCAAGGTCACCCTATAGCCTGCTACCTCCAAAGCTCCAAGTGAAATGATGTTCTTCTTCAACTGAGGAACGAACCTCACTCCAACCAACTCCCGAATCACTCCGTCACTCATCCTGATCTGAACGGTGCCAATGCCACCAATAGGGCATTCATGATCATTACCCAACTGAAACCCTAGACGAGCTTTTCAAATCGATCTACTCCTCCAAATAGCTCAAGCATAGCCCGAGCTCTGATACCAATTATTGTGCTCTAATACCAATTGTTGTTGAAAACCATGTTGAGGAACCAAACCAAACGCCGATCAAAGAAGGCCAAAACCAACCGAAATCAATGCACAACCAAAACACCAATTTTAACGTGGTTTGGCAATTGCCTACGTCCATGGGGTAAAAAGGGGATATGGTTTTCACTAATAAAGAAGAAGAGCACAACTTGAGATTACAAATCACTCGAAGGAACAAACTAATCTCACTGACAAAACTCTTAATCTCTCAAAATAAACCCTAATCAAATAGCTCAGAAAATACCTCTTTTTTGTGCTCCAAATATCCCAAACTCTAGTCTTAAGAAACCCTAGAACGTATATTGGTATTTATACAAACACCAAAACCAAATAAGAACAGGAAATCAAAACTGGGCTTTGACCCGATTGGCGGTCGACCGCCCAAAGCTCGCGGTCGACCGCGATCCAACGACAGAAACCAAAAAGTCCTACAGGGTCTCGCGGTCGACCATGGCGGTCGACCGTGCAGCTCCAAAACAGTTCCCTGTGGTCTTCCAACACCTGTTCTTCACTAAACTTCTCGCGGTTTCTTCAGGCTTAAACATAACAAAACCTTTTAGAACCTGGATTAAATTTGAGTTGTTTATAAGTAAACTAGAGTGCTAAAAGTAAATTACATTGCTAGGTTGAATCAAAATTTGAAAATTTTTTAAAAGGTTGAGTTACGGTGAAACTTGAACCTGGATCCGACCGAATCCGTCCAATTTGTATCCTTACAAACAAAAACATATAGAAGAATTTTAGCCACCAACAACTCAACCCTCATCCACCACTTGGCTAATCTGTTAAGCAACGTGACAAAAATGTAATTACAATTTTCAATTTGGTTTTGTCTTCACTAAATAGGTCAGTAACTACACTGGAAGGATCAAAGAAACACATAACAAAAGTTATTAGGCCACGTATTACTTTTCTTATCACTAAGCTTGGGTTCCTTCCTTTCTCATAATGGATTGCCTACTGGCTCCCTCAAAGTACTCCAAGCAAGCAAGATCCCTTTAAGGAATTAGGATTCAGCTCTTAACCCACTACCCTGACCGTTTTAATTTTTTATATTTGTGGAAAAATAATGGCTAAGGAGTAATTAGCTTGATAGCACTAATGTACGCTAAATGGAGAATGTTTCGAAAATTAACTTTCTTGCAACATTTTTTATGAGAAAGCTTTAATAAAGTATTATTTGGCTATTAGCATAAAGTAGCAATGGCTCTCATGGGTCATAAACAATCTCTATGACCTGAAACTGTTAGGTAGTTAATGACTTTTGTAGACTTTTCAATGCCTTCCTTTGTTCTGCCACAGTGTATTGAGAGGTTCCTTATCTTGCAAAGATATGAAACTCCTAAAATTAATTTAACAATAAATATACAACTCTGGAGTTGAATTTGAGTAACTTTTAGAAGGGAAAAAAAAAATCTAAATTCTCAATATATTTCTGAATTTGGGTTTAATTTGCACCATTTAATTCTGTTTTGTTGAGTGGATGAAGAGCGCAAAGATTATTAAGCAAATTTTCCACGGAATCACACATTTTCCCCCGTGCAACGGTTTTTTTTTTCAAAGCAACCCGGGCATTGGTTTTGACCTGGAATCAGTTATAATGTAGTCGCAAGTCTAAAACAAAAAAAAAATTGACGAGAAAAAAAAAATTACTTCCCCAACTAAGAAATCTAAAGCTAGGTTCCTAACATACCCAAGGAAGTTGTTTCAAAGAAATATTCTTAATAATTAATTGGTGCATGATGAAGAATCGAAGATAAACAACGCATACACATAAAACAACCTTTTGCTAGTCAATATATATACATAATAAAAATATCAGAAAAAAATGTGATATCATAAAGTACACACATAAATTAACTCTCTTTTTCGCTTTAGAAAACCAAAGGTAAACTACAACTTTTGATCATCCCTTTCCCTCACCCCCAAGGCATTAAATTTCGCTCGCCTTATCTTATCGCTTTACAACCAAACATCTTTTCCCCCGATATGCTAACTATAATTACTTTAATCTCTCACATAAAGTTGGCTACACGCTTACATGCATGCTTAAGTTGCTAACAAGTGTAGGCTGAGTACACACACACACACACACAATCACGCATACACCATGGCGAAGCGCTGTCATCATCCCACGCCAATAGAAGTGCTCTTCATACCCCACAAAAGAACTCACGATGGATGGCTAGGATTGCGCTAGTGGCTTTCTTGTAATTATAAAGAGATTTGTCACCAACTCATCTACAAAACCCCCTCCACCTCCTCCTGCTTCTACCCCCCTCTCCCTCTCAAATTTGCCCCCCTCTTCCGTTGCTCTCGGTTTCCTTTCATGGCATCCAAAGGAGATGATTCTGAGCCTCTACAGTGCAAGGTTTGATAGTAGTACTCAACCTTTCTGTGTCATTTTTTGATGTGGGTTTTGGTTTTATACTAAGTTATGCTCTGTTTTGTGCTAGTTTAGACATGGGTGTTGAAGGTTTCCATACACTGCGAAGGATGCAAGAAGAAAGTGAGGAGAATCCTTCAGAACATTCATGGTGATTACCAAACTGGCTCAAATTTATATCCTTTTGGATGTTTTTGATGGAAATCTTTGATGGGTTGGCCTCAAAATTGGACCTTTTTGCCGTTTGTTGTGGTTTTGTTGAGAATCGTTTGTGTAGTGGTGTCAAATTTGAATCTTTTTGTTGTTTTTGTGGCTTTTGTGTGAAAATTTGTGATGGGTTGTTCTCAAATTTTAATTTTGATTTTGATTTAGGTGTTTACAAGACTGAAATCGATTCACAGCAGAACAAGGTAACGGTTACCGGAAACGTGGAAGCTGAAACCCTAATAAGGAAACTGCTGAAATCAAATAAGCACGCGGAGCTTTGGCCAATTGAGAAGAAAACCAACCATCAAAGCCCTAACCCTAATCTTAACAGCATCAGCGGCCAAGATAACAACAAAGAGAAGGAGAAAGATACAAAGAAAGAGAAAGTTGCTTCAAAATCCGATGAACCCAGTGAAAACCCGGAGAAAAAACCCGAAACATCAGCGGCCGTTACGAACCCCGAAACCGATACGAAATCGTCACAGAAAACCTCCTCAGACAAAGCAGCAGCAAAGCCGGCGGAAACGGACACAAAATCGGGCGCAGAAGCATCCGAAACCAGCAACAAAGAGACCCCAAAACCCGACCAGAAGCCCGAAAAGACTGCTACAAGCTCCGAACCCGATAGGAAAGCTTCGGCCGAAACCGCTACCAAAAGCAGTAACAGCAGCAAACAGAAAGGAAAGAAGGGAGCGGAATCTTCAACCAACAATGACTTCATTATGAACGCCGGCGGTGCTCAACCGCCGCCAATGCACGAGCACCCATCGTACCCTCCGCCCGTGTACGCGGCTAGCTACAACATGGCTCAGCCGACGGCTAGCTACTCGTATTATGCGTCGATGCCTCCAATGCCGCAGAGCTACATGTACTCCGGCCATCCACCGCCGGATAGATACATGTACTCCGGCCATCCACCACCACCGGAGTATTATCCACAACCTAACTACCAGGATAATTACTACTATGGACCGGGGCCGGGATCCTCGGCGGGTTCTCATCCTCAGGGGAGCTACGACTACTTCAGTGATGAGAATGCTAATTCCTGTAGTGTTATGTGACAATTGGGGTTTGGATTGTAGATCACTTTGTTAGGGATTATACACTTCTTGTGTACTAGTGAAGATGGCAATGGAACTTGCTTAATTTTGTAGTGGTTAAGTTTAACTATGTGTATAATTAGAGAGATATATGGTAGTTGAAGTTCTTGCTTGGTTCAATCTTTTGTTTGGTTTCTTGGTTTCATGGATTGTAGGTTTATCCATGGTTGTAGATACTTGCGCATAGAAGACCGAAATGTAGTTCTTTGTGTTCATGACCCGACTTGTGATCTAGTTGAATTAGATGTTACTAAATAAGGCCCCTTTTGACAAAGGGTTAAGTGACAGGGGTGAAAGAGAATGATTAATATACTTAGCTCTGAAAGATTAAATTATTAATCCGTTAAATAAGTTTTATTTTAGCATTGTGATCAGTTTTAGTGTTTGGAATAACAACAAATTTGATTATTTTCTTTATAATTAAAAGAGTTAACTCTTAATCCTTCTAAATAGGAGTATTAGTAAACCCCTTATTTTAAGGGGTTAACTCATTTTTATCCCTCTAGAGGGGTTAGCTTAACCCTTCTATATTTTTTATTTGGTAAATTATGAAGGGTTAATTCACTTTAACCCTTATATAGATTTTTTATGTTTGACGGGTTAAAAAGGGGTCAAGTCTTCTTAACTCCTCACTTGACCCTTTGCCAAACGGCACCTAAGGTACTTAGTACTTGGTTTAATTCATTAATCTCTATCTATATACTATATACTATTATAAAAAGAGGATTGAGGTACGTGTTAAAACTTTTAGTTCTAATTTTTACCTCACAAATTTTGATAAATTATAACTATGTCATTATCTTCAATTAATTATTCATTAAATAAATATAACCACTTATTAATTATTCACCTCCTCACCTTCCTAAATAATTATAATTATTAATAGGGTTTTTCTATAGAGTGCCCATGGGCACTCTATAAAAGAGGAGAGAGATAAAGAGAAATGAATTATGCACAAAAATTAATGCAAATCAGGGGGTCCCATGAGCTATTCATTTCTCTCTATCTCTCTCCTCCCTTATAGAGTGCCCATGGGCACTCTATAGAAAAACCGTTATTAATAATATTATAACTATGATTTATTTAATAATAATTTAATAAAATAATTTATAAAATAAGTATACAATTATTAATAGTAACCAATTAAATTATTATTATTATTATTATTTTGAATTATAATAACAAAGTTAAAATAATAGTATACATAAAATAATATATTACTAGATACTATTGAGAATTATGCAAGTCAATGAGCAATAAAATAAATAGAGTAAATATTTAATGGCATAAATAGCACAATTATTTTAATAATAACATATAAATTATGAATTACACTACTTATTTAGTATTATATTATTGAATAAGTTTAATAAATAATTTAATATTATTTTTAGAATATTTTCTCAAATATTATTACATGATACTGAATAATCTATACTTTGTGATGATTAAAAACTAGCATTTTTTAAAAAAATTATTAATATTAATAATAATACTACTAATTATTAATGATAGTATAATAAAAATTTATAAAGTATTTATAGTACTAAAGTATTTAAGAGCATAATTAAAAAATTAAATTAGATAATTATTTTATAGTATATAGATAGTATAATTATTTTAATAGTATTTCTTGAACTAAGAATTATAATATTAAACAAGGTAAATTACAGTAAATCCCCATGAACTTTCATTATTTTGCAGTAAATAGACTCTATGAACTTTCAAAGTCAAGCTAAACCCCTAATAACTTTTGAAGAAACCCCTAATATCTTTTAGATAAATTACACCAAACCCCCTAATAACTTTCAAAATGCATTTTATGCTATTTTCTAGTTCTAATTTATAGGTGTTATCTACAAATTTTAGAAAGTTATTGGCGGTTTTCTTTGAAACAGAAAAATTATGAGGGCTTTAGTGTGATTTTAAAAGTTCATAAGGCTGAAACTTCATAAGGGTTTAGTTTAATTTATTCTATTAAATAATTATAATGAGAAGTAACAATAGCAATATGTTACTGGTATTAAAAGTGTAGCTATCTAGAGAATATCAGTAAAATGCTAGTGAGATCAATGCATCTTAGTTAATTTAGAGTTAAGTTGATAACTTTCAAGTTGGAGGGACATATTTAAGAGAACTTATAAATTTAGCAGACTTATTTAAGAACAATTGTGAATTTAGTGGACTTATTTAAAAAGGTTAATACTATGCAATTATTATAAGAAACACATTCAATTATAATAACTATACAATAATAATTAATTCGTACATTTTTCAAAGCAATCTTATTATACAAATTTTATTTATTAATACTTAATTTTTACTATTCAATAAAAAGTTCAAAAGTTAAAACATGTACGTTTACGTGCAAAGCACGAGCATTATACTAGTATACAATCTAATTTAGATTAAGTTTTTCTAATTCAATTAGAAAGCCCGGTTGTGTACAAACTAAAGTCTTTAACGCAATAAATCAACAATTAAATATGAGATTGATTTATTCAAATTGATTAAGAACCAAATCAGATGCGTATTGGCTTCTTAGGCCCTACTTATAGTTCTTTAAAAACTTAATTACGCTCTTCGGGACCGTGTGACGTGGCGCATCGTCGGCTGCTGATTAATATCTCCATAAATTTAATTTTATGGAGACTGTGTATTGGGATACCCGTTAGCCACGCGTGGAGGAACGCGGGGAAGTTCCGTCGTCAGACCAAAATATAAAGAAAAAAACCAACTCTAACGTCTCATTCCATCATTTTTTACGGCCAATGAAAACCCAAGCAGTAATCAATGTCATTCTTGCTGAAAAGGTGCTGGTGTGTATTTTCATGCTGCGGTGGCCTCAATTTATTAGCAATGCATGTTCTTTTAAATGAAGAAGACAAGCCACTTGAGACAATAAGTCCTAATTTTGTAACATATCTATTATCTTATAAGGTCAGATGAAATTTTAATGTAATCAAGGTCAGAAATTTTTTTTTTGAGCAAACTCTTGCACGTAGCACTAAACATTGGCTCCACTGTAGGGCTGTCCATCCGAGCCGGCCCGGCCTGACCCGGCCCGGGTGGTCCGGGCCGGGCCCGGGCCCGGGCCCGGGCCTGAGCGGGCCGGACACCGGGCCGGCCCGGTTTGATTTTTTTTAGAATTTTTTTTTGTTTTTTTTTTAATTTTAACAAAACCATAAACCATAAATTATTATAAAAAATATCATAAATTTAATTAATAGCTTGAAATGAAATGACATAAATTACAAGTACAAAAAATGATAAAAATAACTTCTTTATTAATAATCGGTAAATCCTTTACAAATCCTTTACAAGTATAAATTTATTTCGAAATTCGTCGCATCACAATAGATGAGTACATCCCAACTAGGTTGGCACCTACTCACCCATATCACTATCATTTGCAACTTTTTTCGAAATAATTTAATTCAAATTTAAAGCTAAGAAAACAAAATTACAATTTTATGAATATTATCTAATCATTATATCTATCTGCTAGTCCTAACTCTTCAAATTTATCTTCAATCATAGCAATCCGTTCGATGCCTTGTGTTCGCTTCTCGTATCTCCACCAATCCTGTAAGCACATCACCGCTTGTACAGTATACGGATCTAAGCATGTCCTGTGGTCGTCGATCAAACGTCCTGCTGTCTGAAGAGATGTTGAGTGGATTGTGTGGCGACGGATGTACGAATGGATGTAAGCAAATGTATGGTAAAAGGGGAGGCATGGGAGCGTGGATCTGACACTTGCGCGAGAACGTCGAGTGAAATTTAAAGAATTTTTTTTCCGCGGATAGCTTCACTTGCCGTGACTGTAGGGTTCCAATCTCTGGTAGGAAGACAAAAGTATCACGCCCGAGAGTTTCATCAAACTCAATCTCAACTGAAACTCAATTGGGTTGTAAGCCGTATTAGTTGCACTTGATGTGTGTGGCTACTGACGCCCTTCGCGCATTCTTCGAGATTGAATAACGCCGCATTAAGTTGAACTTTATTTGCGGCTGATGGCGTTCTTATACATATTTGAGAGAGCTGCGCATAAGACCCGCCTGTGGTCCTTCCCTTCGCTATGTTTGAACGGGAACATCTGGCGAAGTCAGACGTCAATCGGATAACTCGCGAGGGCTTGTCTATCTAGAAAGGTTCCACTCATCTGACTTCATGAATGCTGGCTTCTTCCCGCGATAGTGGGTTGATACAAATTTTTTTGATATGCAGCTTAATGCCTCTATCTGCAATTTTCCCCAGAATCCAAAAATCTGTTCGCATCAATTTCTCAAGTCCCGCATTTTTGACAATCTGCGCATGCTCCCACTTGGAATCTGGACTTCGGCTCCTCTAGATCGTTTCAACGCGCTACGTGATACAGAGTTGTTGGGAATTTAACGCCGAACTCCCTAATGCACACAGAAAACGCAGGAACTAGAGAACAGTACACAAAGATTTTAACGGCCGGAATTGGTTCGGGGCTCGTGCGCCCTGCCATGCCTACGTCCCCTGCTAGTGGTCGCCGACCACACAGACCCTGTGGAAGTCAATTATGTTTTAATATGGACTATCAGTGTCAGAACCTTTATCATCGTAACTTTTAGGAGCAATATCTCAAAACTGAGGATTTCTCAGAAATACAACTACGAGCTGACAGTAGCTTATACTATTCATAATCTCAGAGGTAATGGCAACCTCTTTAATTTCTGCCATTTGAGCGAATTAAAATGAATAAACACCTACAATATAAGAACACCGCCACTCTCTTTATTTCTCTCTCTCTCTTACTATAATTCCCCTCAACTATATCAATGTAGAAGCTAAGATTAAATCCTCGCATTCTATCTGATACGTTCCCGCCCGTTAGTTCCGGCCGTGATTTGGCGCTTTGTCGGCCACCACGTCGGCCATGAACCGACATAAAATACGATCGAGAGAGAGGGGGACGACTGTGTCACACGTTTCCCAAAAACAACCTTTGTCCCTAGGTTGGGGTTTTATATAGCGGAGATGAGGGGCTGGCGACAGCCTGTCGCCAGCGAATAACCTCTGACGGCAAAGGTCGGGGTCGCAAGCCAACCAATGACTGGCATCACGAGAGCGGTCGCGGTGGGGGGAAC